GGTCGGCTGGGGAGGGAGGGGGGCGGTGGTCGGAGCGGGGGGCTCCGAAAGGGGCACAAAGTGCTGCTCCCTTTGCTTCTGCTGCTTTTTAGGGGCGTCCGTAAGATCCCTTTGAGGGCCCTGCATTGGTGTTATTTTCCAGGCCGTCTCTTCGCTCTTGGAAGATGCACATAGAAGCCTTTTTTTAAATTATTATTATTATTTTTTTGCCCTTTAATTTAAGAGGTTTTTAAAAAAAGGGGGAGGAAAAAAAAAGCCTGTAAAAGCCGATAACCCAGTTGCCCCCGGCTTCAAGGAACGCAAACCTAACAACGCACGCGAAAGTTAAGGGAGGGAACCGAAAAGAAAATAATAATAATAATCCCCAAATTGAAGGCGCGCTTGTAGGAATAATAGGGGGGGGGGGAAAAAGTTGCCCGGCGTTACCTGGGGTAGACTTGAAATGTCTTCTGGAGCTGCTAGGTGTGGTGTCCTTCCCCTCGGCATTGGTGCCCCGAGCTGGAGCAGATTGCTAGAATACATTGTTCCTGGAAAAACGCAGCGCTCAGCCCCAAAACGCGCTTAATAACAACTTCCAGAAGGAAAAAAGTAACCCCCCCCTTCCCCCCAAACCTCAGCTTACAGCCTCCCAGCTTGTCTAAAGCTCCCGCTTTCCAAAAAGGCTCGTTGCTGGGGCTGATCTTGTTAGATTCTGTATGTTCTGACCGAGGCAGAGCAGCTGGGAGCAGGAGGAAATCGTGCGCTTTCTCCCCGGCCAGACCCGGGGTGGCGAGGGGATCTCCCTTCGGAAAGTTGCAGGGATTGTGCGTGTGTTCCTGTCTGGATCATTCAGTGTAGTTCATCAAATCGATAAAACCAGAGCAGAGCTAGGAGAAGGCTTTATGGGTTTGCCTTGCTGGACTATTTCAGCTGCTTCCTTCCAGTACTTAAAAAAAATAATTATGATTTTTAACACTGGGCTGCCAAACACGCGGAATTTATCAGTGATGTTTGGCTTTGCGTTTCTTCCCTCTGCCCTGCTGTTGCACGGTTGTTTTCCTGCTTCTTTCCTCACTTGCTTGTGTTGTTTGTTTGTTTGTTTGGTTTTTTTAATGAAGTTTTGGGAGGATGCAAAGTGCAAGTATTATTTGAACGTGGGCCCCTACAGCAGATGTATGTGATTTGTACGTACCCAAATGTCTGCGCCCATCTGGGTGTGCTGATAAGGGGACGCTGTGGTTCTTGCAAGGGTATATACCTTGGAGGGACTTCATCAGATATATAAATCTTTTTAACATGTTGTGGGTGGTGGGGTAAGTAGTGTGAATGTTTGCCAGATGTTCACATTGTCTTTTCCCGTGTAATTTCGGTTGGTAAACAGGAATCCTGTAGCCGGCGCAGCAGTGGCCCTTTATACAGCTAAACCCTTGGCTAAATGGTCATCTGGCTTAAGGGGAAAAAATAAAAACCATGCTGTTGCTTTGCCACAGTGGGTTTTAAAACTAGCTGATTAAAATTGTCCACCTCCAGCCCCAACTCTCTCCTCTAAACCCACAGGAGAAGGGTCAGCTCCGAAATAACAGCAGCTGAAAAGAAAGGTGTTGAATAGCACACCCTTCCCCTTCCCAGAAGCAGACGGCTGTGTTTTAAAACCCGTTTACTGTCCCGATTGTAAAGAATTAAATTTTAACACCTACACATAAGCTGGATGTAAGTAGCATGGAAGCAGGGGAATGGGTTTCTGCCCATACACGCATGTGTTGTCTCTGCGCTCCAAGTTGGGCTCTGAAATTCCCTGAACTGACAGCTCTAAGCAGAGGATGTTTCCAGCACTGGGGGCCGGGGGAGCTTTATTTCCCCTCTGCCTTGCAGAATGAGCCTAATAAAGCACATGGCTGGGTTTCATGTCTGAGGTGGGTGATGGAGAGAGCCCAGTGCTCCTCTCTCTGTGTTGAGAAGGGCAGTCGGATGAAGCTTTGGCTCCCGAAAGCTGCCGCCTTCGGCTCGGTGTGGCGCCGGCCGCGGGAGCCGCTCCGGGGGCAAGGAGGGGGGCCGATTCCCCA